GTCGTGCTCTACGCACAGGTCCCAGAGGCACAGAGCCTTGTGACAGAGGGGAGGCGACCGGGCTCCCCCCGTCTGTTGAGGTAAAAGACAGCCACCATGTTGTCCATGCGGACCAGGATAGAGCGGCGAGAGAGCTTCGACAGGAAGGTCTCGCACGCTCTCCTGCCTGCCCTGAGCTCCCAGACATTTATGTGCAGAGCCCGCTCTACAGGGGACCAGAGACCCTGAGTCCTGTGACACCCCAGGTGTGCTCCTCAACCCAGGTCTGAGGCATCTGTGACCAGTGTAAACGAGGAGGGAAGGTACGGTGAAGGGGACCCCACTGCACACCACCCCCTCCTGAGTCCACCATTGTAAGGAGGCTATCGCCTCCGGAGGCACTGTGAGAACCGTGTCCCAGAGACCCCTGGGCTGATTGAATGCCTTTGCCAACCAGGTCTGCAGAGGCCTGAGCCTCATTCAAGCATGGCGTACCACATACGTACATGCCGCCATGTGACCCAGCAGCCTCGAGCAGACCTGAGCAGTTGTGATAGGAAACCGAGTTAATTCGGAGACCAGCTCCACCATGAACAGGAACCTGGTTCTGGGGAGAAGTGCCCTCGCCACCCTGGCGTCCAGGAGGGCACCTACGAATTCGAGGTGCTGAGAGGGAGTCAACGATGACTCTTCCTCGTTTACCACGAGTCCCAGCCTTACGAAGAGGGCCCTTGTGAGGGACACGTGGGCCTCCACTTGCTCATAGGAACAACTGCAAATCAGTCAGTCATCCAGGTACGGAAACACGTGTACCCCTTTTTTGCGGAGGAACGCTGCTACAACTGCCATGCATTTTGTAAAGACCCTTGGTGCAGTTGAAAGGCCAAATGGGAGCACTGTAAATTGGAAGTGGCATCGGAAAACAATAAAATGGAGAAACCTCCTGTGGCTGGGTCTTATTGCCACATGGAAGTAAGCATCCTTGAGGTTGAGAGTTGCGTACCAGTCTCCTAACTGTAGAACTGGAATGTCAGAAGCCAGGGTTACCCTCTGAACTTGGATTTCACGACCACCTTGTTGAGGTCCCTGAGATCTAAGATGGGACGAACCCTGCCCTTGGATTTCGGGACAATGAAATATCGGGAGTAAAACCCCTTGCCCTCCAGATGTAAAGGGACCCTCTCCACAGCTCCCTTTTGGAGGAGCGCCAGCACCTCCTGGCGGAGGGTGTCTTCATGAGAGGTGTCCCTGAAAAGGGACGGGGTGGGCGGGTTGGAAGGGGGCGAGCCCAGAAAAGCCACTCCTGACTATCCTTAGGACCCAGGCGTCGGTCGTGATTTCAGCCCAGGCCTGAGCACACCGGGATAACCTGGCCCCAAATGGGGGGCCAGGGTGGGAGGCTGGTGCGCGACTCTTTAGCAGCCCATCAAAATTGGTGCTTGTGCTGCTGGGAGGGACCTTGACCAACCCCACAGGGGTTGTCTCCTCTCAGGTGACGTCGACGACCCCTTGAGGACAAGGGGCCCCGCAGCCTCCCCTGCACCCCCACTAGGAGCACGAGGATGGCGTCTCCAGTAATCCCCACAGGGGACCTGGGACTGCGGTCTCCCCTGCTGTCTGTAGGGCAGCTGATGACGCTGAGGAGCCGGCGTGTGGATCCCCAAGGACCGGAGAGTAGACCTCATGTCCTTGAGTGTATGGAGCCTCGAGTCCATATACTCCGAGAATAACGCCTTGCCATCAAAAGGCAGATCCTGAATAGTAGTCTGGACATCAGGAGGTATTCCAGACACTTGCAGCCAGACACCATGGCGCATAACCACACCTGACGCCATGGTGCAGGCTGCAGAGTTGACAGTGTCCAGGGAAGCCTGGAGGGCCATGCGTGTGATGGTTTTACCCTCCGAGGTCATGGCCGCAAACTCCTGACGGGTCTTGGCAGGCAGCTTGTCCTTAAACTTATCCACGGCCTGCCAGGTATTAAAAGCATAACGACTCAGCATTGCTTGCTGATTAGCAATGTGGAGTTGCACCCCACCGGTGGCATACATCTTACGGCCCATCAGGTCAAGACGCTTGGGCTCCCTAGCTTTCGGGGACGGCCCCGGCTGGGGAAGCTTCTCCCTTTGGGCCACAGCCTGAACGACCAAGGACCCAGAGACAGTTGGGAGTACAGGTGTTCGTGCCCCGACTGGGGAACATAATAGCGCCTCTCGACTCCTTTTAAGATAGGAGTCAGGGTCACCAGTGTCTGCCACAGAGCATTGGTAATTTTGGCCAAGGTCTTATTAAGCAAAGCCAAACGGGCAGGCGCATCCTCCGAGAGGATGTCAATCATGGAGTCCATGTCCTCCACTACTGGCTCCACAGGGACACCCAGGTTGGAGGCCAGACACCTAAGCAGCTCCTGATGCGCCCAGGCATCCATAGTAGGCAGTGCCGGTGCGGGATCCGCCAAGGCTTCATCAGGAGACGATGATGACGACGACTCCTGGATCGGTGCCGGGCCCGGCGTAGGAACCGGTTGGGGCACCGGTGGGGCAGGCAGAACCGCTTGCGTAAGCGGCTCCGGTACTGAGGCCTGTGGCTCAGCCGTGGCATCCAAGGCAAGCGACCTCTGGGGAGAAGGAGGGGGTTGCAACAGCGATGCTGATGGTTGCGTTCAGCGACCCGAGGCTCCTGACACCACAGAGGAGGGCACAGGCCCCTGCCACTGGTGGTAAGCCCACGGTGTCCAGAAAAGCCACTGTGGTTGAGGTGGCCAACTCTGCTGCACCCGCGAACAATCACGTCGGTGCCAGGAACGGGATCTATGAGCCAAGGAAGCTCCCGAGGACTCCGACCTGAACGATGCCGCATCAGAATCCGACGAGTAGTCAGACTCCGGCCAGGGAGGCGCAGATGACAAATGTCCTGTCACTGAAGGAGGGGCAAACCTGGCCATGGACTCGGGTTTGCCCGCGTGCGCCCGATGAGAGTGTGCTGGCATCGGGAAGACCGGTGCCAGTGCCATTAACGATGCCTGTTGTGGTACCGGGAAACCTGGTCCCGGTGGTGGAGTTGGTGCCAGAGGGACAAGCCCTGGAGCCCGAGGTGGAGCCGGTTGCGGCACTGGGAGGACCGGTCCCGGTACCGATGCTGGTTGCAGTGCCAACACGGAGCAAGGCTGCGTTGCCGAAGCCGGTACCGGTTGCAAGACGAACCCCGAAGAAGCCGACGTCACCATCGACGGCGGTACCGGCAAGGTCCACAGTTAGTGTCTCCTTTGGGCATAAACTTTATGCAGACAGCGCACGCCTTAAAACCTTGTGGCCCTGGCATGCCTCATCCCCGAAGGGGGAGAAGGAAAAACAAAGAGACACTAACTATCTAACTAATTGAACTATTCAGAACTATCTACAATGCTACGAGAAACGGGAACCATTAACTGATCTAAGAGAGAGACACTCTCCAACAACCGTCACGGGCGGTAAGAAGGAACTGAGGTGGGGCAGCGCCGGCAGGGGTACTTATGCCCCGTCATGGCAGCGCCACTCCAGGGGGCGCCCTGCTGGCGCTATGGGTACCGCTAGGGAAAATGCTCCAGAAGACGCGGTGCACACACCTAATTCGAATGTTCATGAGCAACCACTCGAAGAAGAAGCACTGCTCCATTGGCACAGAGAAAGGGAGAGTGAGCATATGTGGGACACAAGTCTCCCAGAGTTTGCCTGAAACATCTAACCCTTGATCCTGGTGCTACTCCTGCTAGGAAAGGATTGAATGAGTTCTGCATTAAATGGGCACTGTTGCAGGTAATTCACTGCTCCATTTGAGTAAGTGAGGTCGGAATGACTCTTTGAGACGAAAGGAACTAGGGTATGATCTGAACAGTTCTGAAGGAGGAATCCTAGGAGCAGCCAAGTCTTGGGAGAAGATTTGACATGAACTCTATTATGCATTGGAGTGAGGTTTTGACTCTACATCGTATGTTGTAAGGATGTTACATTTAGATTAATAGACAAATTGAATAGTCGATGCAAATTGCATCAACTATTCGATTAGCCTATAAAGGGAGCCTCACCTTTGAAGTGTAACAGCTCCAAGGCTGTTGCTACACTTCAAAGGCAAAAGTGATGCAGGGAACACTGGGCTAGCAGGGGACTGATTGAGTCCCCCACTGGCCCTTTGCGCCCTGTGGCATTTCAAAGCGGCAGCACAGCGTGGAGCTGGGGGCCAGTTAGGGACTCCCCTGATGACCCTGGTTCTATGCAGCATTGTCGCTTTGAAACAGGGTGTGGAGCCGGTAGCTAACTGGGGAGTCCCCAGCTGACCTAAGGATCCCTGTGGTACTGCCACTTTGATATGCCATGTGGGGCTCTCTGCAGCGTTGCAAAGTGGCAGCGCTGCATGGAGTCTGGAGTCAGCAGGGAGTCCCCAGCTGACCCTGGCTTCACACAGCACTGCTGCTCTTAAGCCTTCCCTCCTTGCTAAATCTTTCCGATAGAGGCAGCAAGGGGGGGGAGGAGAAGCGACTAGTGTATTGACTATCTGATAAACTTTTACTTATTGGATAGTTGACTAGTCTTTCACATCCTTAATATGTAGACATTGTAGGTTGCGAGCAGACTTATAACCAGGGCAACATTAAGAAGTGGTTATTTCCCCCTCTATAGCTAGCTTGTTAAGGTTGCATTAACCAAATTAGGACAATGGTATAACTCCAGTTAACTCACTTGAATTGATCCAAGTGAATTCCAGGTGGGAACAAGATCAGCTTCACTACATTCCCACCTCCAACTGGTGCAATTGCTCTTACTTGATATGTCCACAAGCTGTTCCCAATACTCTGGTTCTATTTGTATGCCACAGGTACATTAAACTTTGACTGTAATGCTGACAAAAGCAGAAATACCATAGATGCACAATGTGTAGACAGTGATGCCAGGGGTGTCAGTACAAACATATTTTGAATGGTATGAACTTGTATCACTATAGACAAATATTTGAAAACATCCACCAAAGAGGTGACTCTAGTGAGGAAGTGCATAAAAGTTTATTGTATGTAAGAACAAAAACAACAAACCCCCCAACTGCCCCATGATCTATATACATTTATTTACAAGATGAAATGACGTCAGCATAATTATTTACAAGAACGCCCTCACAAGTCTGTACATCAAGTAGTAAATGTGAAATTTATTTACAGGCAGAATTAAGAGGCCTCAGACAAGACAGAGAAAAGATAAAATATCTGAGACCAACTGGCTGTACGAGTGGGAGCAGCATTGAGTGATCATAGCAACTGGACCACAGGTGGCTGAGAACCAGCAAGGCTGAATGAAGAACACAACAGTAATGAGATACCTGTGATTACAGGGCCAGCGGAGGTGGATTGCTTGCACCACAGGCATCTTTGTGTCAATCAACTGGGATATATACACTGGCCTAACCTATAGCTGAGAATCAGCAGATTCCATGACGGGCTGATCAGGGCTCTCCCTCATCCACAAATATGCAGCTTGAAACATTTGCCCTGGGACTGCCCAGGGAATTTCAATAGGCTGTTAGTATGGAGGATCCTTTAATGAGATTCCACTATTGATTTGTACTGGAGGGGAGACCACTGCTTTGAGTGGAAACTAAAATGCATCCTCCTGTAGTTTGCATGCATGAAGCATGGATGGACCTAGCTCATGATAGCTGTTCTGGGCCCCTCCCCCTTGGGTTTGCTGACTGATCATTCTGGCACAGTTCTCCATAGAGCTACAGCTGTACCCATTCCAATGCTGTGATTTGACTCCTGATCAGTGCTTTCTTTTGCAGATGTTAAATGCCAGCTTTCTTCCTTACACCCTCCATCTGCACCATGCTGGCTCTCCTTCTGGGACTGTGATTCCCACCATGGCCCCATGGCTGCAGGAGGAGGAGTGGGGTAGCTTGCAGACTGGGAACCCAGTTACTTGGCCTCTCAAGAGACTGATTGGTGCCATCTTCTCCCTGTAAGTTTAACGCTTAGTCTCCACATTGGTTACAGTTCACTGAATCGTACAGAGGGTTCCAGCTTGTGGGACAGTGCAGTGAGGACCTTGTCGAATTTCTCATAGCGTTCCCGCTGGCTGCTCTCAGCACCACGGCTGCCCCAGAGGAGACGCATCTGGAACTCAGTACTGAAGATTTCAAAGATCTCAGCCTTGCCCTGGAAGCCTGCAAAGGACACAAGACCCAAAAGCATCAGAGAAGCCCACCAAGGGACAAGTTCACCCCATGTACACTCTAACCCACGTTAGCCTAAATGGAGCAGGCAGGAAGTAGCTGGGATTCCTTTGCCCTTCCACTCTTAGGGAGAGGTGAACTGGCTTGTGGGCCATGACACCAAGAAAGTACACAAACATCAGAGTTCTTGCAGCAGCAGGGCTGGGAGGCTGCTGGTTTAGCCATACAGTGCCTGTCTCTTGTCTGGAGAGAGACAGGCCAAAACACGGACCTTCTTACAAATAGTCCTGCAATAAGTTATGAGTTCCACCACATCGAATCTGAGGCCTTAATGACACTCCGTTTGAAGTCCCTTCAAAGACCCTGGGCCAAATTCTTTCCTGATTTGCACCTCGTGACCGCTGGGAACCACTATGTCTCCCAGCCTTGGAGCGTCTAGGGAGAAGTGGGGTGTGTACGTGGACCCCTGAAGGCAATAAAGGTTTAACATGGCTTGGCAAGGCTCATTATGCTAGCTGGCTACTCTTGGAGAGTGGGCCAAGACACAAAGTCTGCAGCAGAAGGTGCTGCAGGAAGAGAGAGTGAAGAACTCCGCAATCACTCATTGGGAGCAGAGAGCCTGGGAGGGTCACGGAGGAACCGGGGGGAGAGCTGGGATCCTTTTCTGAGCAGAGAAGTCTAACAGGAAGCCAGGAGATACCCACAACAGTACTGGGGATGGAGCAGGCTCTGGTGATGAGAAGCCCTAATGACAGGGCAAGCTCTGAACTTGCCAGGAGAGCCAGAGAAAACTGAGCAGAAAGGGATGAAGGGTTAAGCCCAAGGACAGAGAAATGGGTTTTTATTTGGGATTCCAGTGGGAACCCTGTGTGGCCTGGCCCTGAGAGAAGGGTGAACTTGGAGAGTCAGTGGGAGGGGCCAGCTGATAGGCTGCAGTTGGAAGGGAGGCAGCAGCAAGGAGTCTGACCAGAGAAGACCTTGGCTGCTGGTTAGAGAGTCTCTGGAGTGGAACCCAGTCTATAAGGAGGGCCTAGATTCCCTACCAGCCAGGAAGGTGATAGGAGGCCCATGAGATAGGGATAAGGACAACGGAGAGCCCAATGAGAAGAGTGTAAAGATCTGGGACCAAGGAGCTTTTGTTGTACTTTGTTACACTGGATGGGGTGAAACTGAAACATGAGCTGGCTGGAGGTCGGAGTTGGACCACTGCAGGCAGTGCTAAATGAGAACCTCCTGTGCCACACCCAGACACAAGAGGGCACTCCACTGGGGAGTCTACCTTCCCACAAGGGTAAATGCTGGCCACTTCCTTAAAGCCAGTGGCACGACACCCCCTAATTTCATCCCCCTTCCCACACAGGAGAACAAGTCCCAGTTCGGACAGTGGGGCACCACAGGGATGGGGAGAAGCAGCTGGGGGGAAGGGGAGAGCTAGTGTTGTGGCTCTTCTTCTTGCTAGTGGGGCGCAGCCTCTCTTTGAAGCTGCCCTGCTATCCAGAGCCAAAAGATGTGAGTAACAAGGCCAACAGATATTCCTGTGAGCTTGGCTCAAAGTGAGTTGGCAGTCACAGGCCAGACACCGAGCTTCCTTACCCTGAAGCTTCACTTCTGCGTTGGTATGGTACAGTCCCCCATGATGTGCCACCATCCGTGCTGCTTCCAGGTGGGCCATGACAACCTCCACGCCATTGTCAGTGTTTTCCCAGGACTCCACGCTGTCCAGGAGCGCGACATCCCGCTCCAGGAGTGTAATGAGGGGCATGATATGAGGGAAGGTGGTGTTGGTCAGCGGAGGGCCTTCTGCGAAAGAACAAGAACATGTGCACACCCTGAGTTCCCTGGCTACTGTGCAATGTTTCAAGAGCCGAAGGGGGCCACTTTATAGGCTCACCCTCCAAGTCTGTCATAGTGAGAGGTGCAAGAATGAGAGTCCTGTGGATGGTACCCTCCAAATAGCTAGAGAACAGGTACAGTGTGTCAGAAGGGTAGAGTCAGATTTCCTAGCATTCAGCACTTGGGATTCGATTTTCCAAGAGAGCTCAATATCCAACACTGCTCTGAGCCCTTTGGAAAAATCAAGCTCTGTCTTTCCCACTTAATGTCACCCTGTCCCCTTATCGTGGGGACTGGCCAGGCAGGTTGGCTCTAGGAAGCAGTGTTCTTACCCAGCCATTGCTTTTGTTTACTTTTGAATGGGGCTGTTTGGAAAGCGAAGGGCAGGACTGGGTGGAAGGCTGTAGCAGGCGCTCTCAAGCACACAGGTTTGCAGTTTCTGCAGGGTCTTGCACCTTGTGTGTCCCAGCAGCAGCGCACAGACTGACCATAGTGCCCTTAGCCTCACCAGGCAAAGGAAAGCTCATGGAGGAGGGATAGATCACAGGCAGCAATCCCATCCCTGCAGCCACAGGGGGATTTGGTGGCCCGATCCTTGGGAGGACTTGCTGCTGCCATAGGGTTGAACTAGGTTCCCAGAGCAGCAGATGGGTAGAGCCACCAGGGACTGGAATGGGAAAGGGTTTTTTGGGGGTGAGTGGCAGAGAGGCCATGGTGTTGGTGGCTGCTCCTTTCCAGGATTCTCGGACTATGGAAGTGCCCATGACAATGGAGAAGAGTCTGGCAGGAAGCCAGGTGGATGTAGCTAGACAGGTCTGTTTCCTCTCTCTCGTTCAGTGGGAGGCCGTGGGAAAACAGGACAGGAATTAGCCCATACATAGCTCCATGGAGGGAGGGGGAAATTGTACTGACCTTTGTGGTCCCTGGGGAGCTCCCACAATCAGTAAAACAAGAGCATGCACGGGAAGCCGGATGGCAGCTGCGGGACCTGCCTTGTCCACAGAAAACGTGGAGCGGGGCAGAGAGAGAAGAGACACACAAGGTCTCTCCCTTCTCATTACCTTTTCCTTCATTCAGGCTCTTCAGGAAGGGCTTTAGCTTCTTCTCGTAGAGGATGGCCCCCTCGGTGTGTCGCTGGCGCAGCGCCATCCAGGTGTGCTCTAGCCGCGAAATCTGGAAGCAGGAGAGGAGGGTTCTCAGCACTACAGGGGGCTGACGCATGGGGAGTCTGGTGCTCGCGGGGGATCAGCAGAGCAGAGAGACTAATTCTGGATGGATCTGGGCAACCTTCCACTCACACACAACTCTGCAAAAGTGACTCACTTCTGAGCTATAGCCCCCCCTCTATTCAAATTCAAGGATACCCAGGCAGCTCAGCTAACGTGCATCACTCCTCGCCTGCAATATGTGCTGTGCCAAACTAGTCTTCCCAGAGTTTTGCCTTGAAACCTCAGCCCTATCACGCTGCCTCCCCTGCCAGTCCCCTCTGTGGGTTCCCTTAGGTGTGCCAGTTCTCTGGGCATCTCCAAGCTTGACCATGCAACCGTGGCAAGAGGGTGAGATCTCAACAACAGCATTTTTGCTGACATGTTTTCTTTCCTCCGTGGCTGGTGATGGACAGCGAGAGACACAGAGAAGGTAGCTCCTTTGAACTAGGGGAAGGGAGTTCCCAGCAGGGTTTGATTTAAAGTTGAATTCTAGTCTTTCATCTTCTGAAGGGACCAGATTGGATGGCAAGGTGCTGTGGCCTTAAAACAGTGATTGTACCCTATTGGGAAGAGGGGGGCGTATTTTGGGTGAACAGCAGTTTCCTCTGAATAATACAGCCCGACAAAGAATAGCAACTCACAGCCATATGGGGCCAGGCCATTTCCAGGGGTGGAGATGTTCCCATCCTTACATCCAGACTGAACTGAGCCTGGTGCCCCCTTCCCAACACTCTCTCTCAGCTCTTTCCCCACCCCACATGCTGGCGTTTCCTGAGGGATGCAATTAGGTGTGTGAGATTTGGGGAGAGGGCTGGGAGAAGAGGCCTGGCTGATACCTGGGTCATTTCCAGTGCATTCATCACAGCAGCAAAACTGAACATGTTCCCCAGGGTGCTTTTCAGCTCTGCAGCCAACTGGATGGTTTTGTGCAACAGCCTCTTCCCTGCTGCTCGTGCAGCCCAGGATATCCACCGCAATCATTATGGACATGGTGTGGAACCTGACACGGTAGGAGACAGAGGCTGAGCCACCAGGTGGGGAGCCAGCAAGGAACATGCAGGACTCAGAGGCAAAGGAGTCAGGAGATGGTGAGGGGACAACTGGAGGCCTCATAGGAGGAGAGTTTGAGGACTGAATGGGGCCAAGGAGCTAGTCATGTTTGAGGCCCATTGGGAGGGCGCTTGCATTGCTGCTGCCTGGTGTGCGGCTGAACTGAGGACTTCAGTCTCCAGAGCTATTCCTCTGTCCGTCATTTCAGTAACCCCCCGAAAGCTGATTCAGGGCAGAGTCCTCGTACAGACTGGAGGCCTCATAGGAGGAGAGTTTGAGGACTGAATGGGGCCAAGGAGCTAGTCATGTTTGAGGCCCATTGGGAGGGCGCTTGCATTGCTGCTGCCTGGTGTGCGGCTGAACTGAGGACTTCAGTCTCCAGAGCTATTCCTCTGTCCGTCATTTCAGTAACCCCCCGAAAGCTGATTCAGGGCAGAGTCCTCGTACAGTGAGGGAAGCTGGATTTGGAACTACAGGCCAAACTTTCCAAATATGGTGCCAAGAGACCCCGAGATCTGCCATGAGACACCTAGCCAAGGACAGGACAGGAGTCAGGGCAGCACTTGCTTTCCCATGTCCCCCGCCCCTCACTCCCCAGCCTACCGTTCCAGGAGGTCAAGCCGAAGTTGATGGCCATGGGGCAGGGTGAGCAGCTCCATGCCCGAGCTCACTCCCATGTGCTTCTGCATCTCCTTGGTAACACCTAGTATCCTAGCAACCTGCAACAGAGGGGGACAGTAGCTGAAGCACCAATAATTGAGGTGAGGGGGCTTGGCCAGGTGCAGAAAAAGTTTTGGCTCTGCTGTGAGCTAAGGTCTTCCCACACCCTGCCTCACCACACAGCAGCCTCAGTGTGCTCAGAGCTGGGAAAGGGCTGGCATAGAATACTTGAACTGGAAGGGACCTCAAGAGATCATCAAGTCCAGTCCTCTGCCCTCAGAGCAGGACCAAGCACTGTCTAGATCATCCCTGATAGATGTCTGTCTAACCTGCTCTTAATATCTCTAGTAATGGAGATTCCACAACCTCCCTAGGCAATTTATTCCAGGGCTTAACCACTCTGACAGGTAGGAAGTTTTTCCTAATGTTCAATCTAAACCCCCTTGCTGCAGTTTAAGTCCATTGCTTCTTGTCCTATCCTCAGAGGTCAAGAACAACAACTCCTCCCCCCACCCTTGCAAACACCATTAGGTACTTGAAAACTGCTATCATGTCCCCTCTCCGTCTTCTCTTTTCCAAACTAAGAAAACTCCGTTCTTTCCATTTTTCCTCATAGGTTAGGTTTTGTAGACTTTTAATCATTTTTGTTGCTCTTCTCTGGACCATCTCCAATTTCCCCACATCTTTCTTGAAATGTGGTGCCCAGAACTGGACACAATATTCCAATTGAGGCCTAATCCGCACAGAGTAGAGCACTTCTTGTGTCTTGCTCACAAAACACTCCTGTTAATGCATCCCAGAATCATATTTGCTTTTTTTGCAACAGCATCACACTGCTGACTCATATTCAGCTTGTGGTCCACTATAACCCCTAGATCCCTTTCTGCCGTACTCCTTCCTAGACGGTCGCTTCCCATTCTGTATGTGTGAAACTGATTGTTCCTTCCTAAGTAGAGCACTTTGCAGTTGTCTTTATTAAACTTCATCCTATTTACCTCAGACCATTTCTCCAATTTGTACAGATCATTTTGAATTATGACCCTATCCTCCAGATTAGTTGCAACCCCTCCCACCTTGGTATCATCTGCAAACGTAATAAGTGTACTTTCTATGCCAATATCTTAATTGTTGATGAAGATATTGAACAGAGCCGGTCCCAAAACAGACCCCTGTGGAACCCCACTTGTTAAACCTTTCCAGCAGGATTGAGAACCATTAATAACTACTCTCTGAGTAAGATAATCCAGCCAAATTATCCACCCACCTTATAGCAGCCCCATCTAAATTGTATTTGCCTAGTTTATTGATAAGAATATCATGCAAGACCATATCACATGCCTTACTAAAGTCTAGGTATACCACATCCACCGCTTCTCCCTTATCCACAAGACTCGTTATCCTATCAAAGAAAGCTATCAGATTGGTTTGACATGATTTGTTCTTTACAAATCCATGCTGGCTGTTCCCCATCACCTTGCCACCTTCTAAGTGTTTACAGATGATTTCCTTAATTACTTGCTCCATTATCTTTCCTGACACAGAAGTTAAACTGGTCTGTAGTTTCCTGGTTTATTCTTATTTCCCTTTTTATAAATGAGCATTATATTTGCCCTTTTCCAGTCTTCTGGAATCTCTCCTGTCTCCCATGATTTTCCAAAGATGATAGCTAGAGGCTCAGATACCTCCTCTCTCAGCTCCTTGAGTATTCTAGGATGCATTTCATCAGGCCCTGGTGACTTGCAGGCATCTAACTTTTCTAGGTGATTTTTAACTTGTTCTTTTTTTATTTTATTTTATTTTTTATTCTTTTATTCTACACCTACCCCCTTCCCACTAGCATTCACTATTTTAGGCATCCCTTCATCATCAAACTTCTTGGTGAAGACCAAAACAAAGAAGTCATTAAGCACCTCTGCCATTTCCAAGTTTCCTATTATTGTTTCTCCCTCCTCACTAAGTAATGGGCCTACCCGGTCCTTGGTCTTCCTCTTGTTTCTAATATATTTGTAGAATGTCTTCTTATTGTCCTTTATGTCTCTAGCTAGACGGAGCTCGTTTCGTGCCTTTACCTTTCTAATCTTGCCTCTGCATGCTGGTGTTGTTCGCTTATATTCATCCTTTGTAATTTGACCTAGTTTTCACTTTTTATATGACTCCTTTTTGATTTTTAGATCATGCAAGATCTCCTGGTTAAGCCAAGGCGGTCTTTCGCCATCCTTTCTATCTTTCCTACACAATGGAATAGTTTGCTTTTGGGCCCTTAATAATGTCTCTTTGAAAAACTGCCAACTCTCTTCAGTTGTTTTTCCTCTTAGTCTTGCTATCCACGGGACCTTACCTACCAGCTCTCCGAGTTTACCAAAATCTGCCTTCCTGAAATCCATTGTCTCTATTTTGCTGTTCTCCCTTCTACCATTCCTTAGAATCACACACTCTATGATTTCATGATCACTTTCACCCAAGCTGCCTTCCACTTTCAAATTTTCAACTAGTTCCTCCCTATTTGTTAAAAATCAAATCTAGAACAGCTTCCAACCTTGAAGCCCTCTCAACCTTCTGAAATAAAAACATTGTCTCCAGTGCAGTCCAAGAACTTGTTGGATAATGTGTGCTCTGCTGTGTTAGTTTCCTCAACATATGTTTGGATGGTTGAGGTCCCTCCCCTCATCAAATCCTTGGCATGGCTCAGCCAAGAAAACATTGATGCATTCATCCTTAGTAGGGAATGGCTAGTATGGGGCATCTTGAGGCCCAGGTCTGAGAATCAAGAGATCTGGCTTCTAGTCTTGGCTCTGCCATGGACTGCCTGGTTTGGAGCAAGCAACTTCTCCCCAGCTTCATATTCCCACTCCACTTCAGGCACAAGGTCCTGTGAGGAGTGCAGTGGCTTTGAGAGTGGACAGTGCTCTTTGATTACTGCCCAGCCCTAGGGAGTTGCCTCCCATCTAGCCCAGGGTGATGGTGACCAGGGTTGGTCTCAGCTAATTTCCAGCAGGTGCCTATGTCTCAATTTCAGGTGGACAAACCCTCATCTTGCAATACATTCTCACATCATTGGTACTGATTGTCCCCTTGCCAGCTCAACTTTCCTCATGCCTCCCAAGCTCCGGTAATACTAATTTGTCCCCATAACACCCTGCAAGGTTAATAGTTAGCATAGCCCTCACGCATGTGTTTTACAGATTAGGGAAACTGAGGCCCAGAGCTCTGAAGTGACTTGCCTAAGACCGGAGTCACTTTCAGCTCTGTTCCCAATCCCCAGACCCTATTCATTTGCTCAGTGGGCACCCTGTGAGATACAGGGAGTCGCCAGTTAAAAGTCAGCTCTTCCAACAAGCCCAGCCAGGGAGGGGTTAGTTCAGGGCAGCAGACCATAGGAGTGACATTGCCCTCCCCACCCTCCAAAATCGCCAGTCGTACCAGGCAGTCCACTTTGGTGATGTGTCTGGCAAGGGCCTTGGCATCCACCTCTGCCAGCAGCTCCTTCACCTTCTTAAGCACAGCCATTTCCAGAGGCTTGTTCTCCAGGGGGATCAGCAGGGACCGGAACGCCATGGGGTTGAAAGACGAGCTCATCTCCAGCGTGGGTGGGATAAAGCCCACGAAGTCCTGCTCCCCTTTCATCCTCTGCCCTGCCTCACTGGGGCCATTTTCTGCAGGCACCCTCTGACCCCCCTCCACCTTCAACCTCTCCACATAGCTCTTAGTGGGCAGCTGCTTGGTATCATGAGTCGGCCTCTCCTTGCCGACAGGAGAGGTGGGGTGGAGCTGGCAGTAATGGCCTGTGTCCGGGTCGCTATAGCTGTTAACAGAGGGGGAAGGAGAGGCCCTGGAGTACCCATGGCAGGGAGAGGAGTGGGTGCTCTCAGCTAGGTCTGTCAGGGGCTTGTTTCCTGGACACAGCTGTGGTTCACTGGATCTTCTTACGACAGGAGAGGCTGGGATTATGCCACTAGCTTGACTCCCTTGGGGCTTTAGCCGTGTCACTGCAGAGAGAAGAAAAGACCCAGTCACCATAGCTCAGAGAAGAGACATGCATCCCAGGCACACATTATAAACACTCAGGCAGCAAGCCAAACTCAGAGATGCAGAAGACCCAGGACTCAGCTAGAACAGACAACCTGGATCAGGACCGAGGACATTATAAATATATTTGTTACTGATCGTAAGAACTTCTAGCCAGTCAGAGGGCAGGACTTTGAGCCTGTGCTATAAATGAAGTTGCCAAGGACAGGCATAAATTAGAGTTGTTTCTAACAGTTGCACAACTCTAGGGTTTAGTTCCCACAATCTCACACCAGACTAGCTAATTTTTTAAATAGTGGTGTGAGATTCTTTGTGGTGTGTGTAGTAAAGGAAGGTCGAGGCCCTTGTTTTCTGTGTAGTGTTTCTCTACATTTCTAAGACCTGCCTCTGTGCAAAGACAGCAGCCATTGTGTTCTTAGAGTGGCTGCAGTCTGTTATACAGACTTTTACACTGTACTTTCTCTCAGCCTTTCCCACAACCCTCCTGCTCTCTGGATGTTTTCCCTTAAACTGAAAGGAGGTTATTTTAGACCAGGGATGGGCAATAATTTTTGATGGGGGTCAAGGGCCATGCTTTTCTATTGAGGAAGTGCAGGGTCTGAGACAAAGGTTGGGTGCAGAATGGAGCACGGGGTAGGGGACTGGGGTGCAGGAGAGGGTGTGGGAGCAGGTACAGCATGTGATGCTTCTCCCTCTCCTGGTGCACAGCTAAGAGCCACATGAAGCAGGCAGCCACTTTGAGTGGCGTGGGGCTGCTCCAGGCCTGAGGGTTCCAGTGGGGCAGGTTGCAGGCTGGATTGAAAAGCTTGGCAGGCTGGATCCAGACTGTGAAACAAATTTTATCTGCCCCTGTTTTAGATGTGTAAGCAGGGTCTGAATCAATGCATCCAGTGGAGCCAGCTAGAAGGGGAAAGGAATCCAGGGTGTGATTATGCTCACTCAGTTGTTTAGCCCTGTAAGGTATTAAACTTATGTAAATACAGTTCAGTCAGTGCTATAGGCCTGATAGATGGTCAATTGTTAGAATAGTATTTTGCCTATTGTAACTAATTTGGCTGTTGTAGGGTCACAAATTACGTTAACCCTAAATGTAGGAACTGTAAAATATGACTCCAATACTTGCAGGAGAGACACTGTCATTGTTGTAAAGAATCTGAGATGGGCAAGGCTTTCCCTTCCTCACTCAGTGAAGTCAATTGCGGGGGAAGGGCAGAACTCGGAATCGGCAGGCTACATGCCCTCCCGATGTGAGCTGTAAGACTGAATCTACCTGTTTTTCTCTCTGCCCCGCCCCCGCTCTAATGACAGAACTAACACAGACTCCATAAAGAATCTATTACTTTGGGGAAATGTTATTCCAAGGGATGCTGGAATTTTTTGGCTAGCCTGTGTTGTGGGCCAAGAGCTGACATCACATCACAGAGCTGAAATCACAAGGTCTGGCTTAGAGTCAAACTCATGGTGGGAGCGGCTGGCAGGAACAGCAACCAGCAGGAGGCGATGAGTGACCAGCAGGCAGCCAGCAAGGTGGCGCGAGAAAGCAGCAAGCAGGTGGATGGTGAGTGACCAACAGTATGGGTAAGACACCTCCTATTCTCCCCCTTACAGGGTGGGAGGTAACCAAGGGCAGCAACTGTGAGTGGGGTGCAAAGAAGGGTTGGGCATGTGAATGGGACAGAACTTGTGAGCCTGAGAGGCAAAGGACATTGCCCAGCCTACTGGAGCTGGGATGTTTACTCGTGGTTTGGTTATGGACTCTGGTGTTTTCCTACATTTATGCCACATTACTTTTCTCCTTCTTTCATTAAAAGTTTCTTTTCTGTGCTGGCGAATGGGGAAGCATTGCCCCCCAGCGGTGTGTGCGAATTTCCCAGGTTACGGGGTGGGGTGGAGTACCCACAGCTCCAGGGAGGAGAATTAAAGGTTTCGTATGTAAAAAGAATGGAGACTGGTGAGAGCAGTACCCCAGCTTCCAGACAGCTCTTTATCCAGGGAAGATCCAGAACTAGGAGTAGCACCTGAGACCCAAACTGAAGGTCTTTCCCCGTTTGGGACGTTTTCCGTTGATTATGCATTCTTCAATAGAAGGTTGTTTGGGACTTACCAGCTCACGGTGGGGAAACTGAGGTATTATCTGTAGTGCGGCAACTGGCCACTATGGTGGAGAAGGGGCAAAACTGCCTCCTTGACAAGGTCTGTATTAAGCATGTAGAGGCCATTATTACATGCCACAGGGCCAGTGTCTAGCAGCTGCCCGGGCCAGTTTGCATGTATGAACCTCTGGTGTCACACCAAGCTAAGTCCCTACCCTCTTTCTCTGGTTTCACTCTTCGTACTAGAGAGAATGCACAGAATGTGCCTCTAGACTGCTACTTCCCCGGGGTGGAGGGATTCCTACCGGTGCTGTAGGCAGGAGATAGTGGGGTCTCGGAGATGGGAGACATCGGGGAATGGAGATCTTGGATTTGGTCCACGCTGACTGCACAGTTCCGGATGACCTCTCGGTGAATTGGTAAGGACACGCTGGAGGTGGGGTTAAAAAAAAAAAAAAAAAGTATTTGGTCCACGCTGACTGCACAGTTCCGGATGACCTCTCGGTGAATTGGTAAGGACACGCTGGGGGTGGGGTTAAAAAAAAAAAGGCACGTTACAGACCCCTCTAAAACAGGGGACAAATTCACAGAGTAACTGAGCAACTGTGTGGATGTCAGCACCAGCAGCAGATTTAGTCCAAAAAAAGGCACGTTACAGACCCCTCTAAAACAGGGGACAAATTCACAGAGTAACTGAGCAACTGTGTGGATGTCAGCACCAGATTTAGTCTGTGGGGTTAAAAAAAAAAAGGCACGTTACAGACCCCTCTAAAACAGGGGACAAATTCACAGAGTAACTGAGCAACTGTGTGGATGTCAGCACCAGCAGCAGATTTAGTCCCCGGGATTCAGAGGCAGCTGGGGTAGGACGCCCATGCACCAGAAGAAGGAATACAGGAGAACTCAGCTCCCATTTACGCCTCAGCAGAAACAGCCAGCCTTTCAGTAGCATGGGTGGGGAGCTCTTCTGAAAGGCCAGTCCACAGTGATGGGGCTTTCCAGAGAGCTGAGCAAGGGGAGCTGCAGCTGCTTAGCTCCTCCGGAAATCGGGCCCATCTTCCCTAGGAAATGCTCAGTATTTGAAGGCTCATGGTCAGCTAGTTCAAGCCTAATGCTTAGTAGTGCCAAAGCTGGTAGAGAAAGGTTTGTGAAATTGGCATATTAATGGTCAGTGATGGGAATTTGTTGGGATTTAAACAGTCTCCTTTTCTCCGCCTGTCCCCACTCTTGCCCTGAGGGCCGGCCAGTTACCCAAACCCGACAGCATGGGGAGATGTGTCTTGGCTGTTTCTCCAGAACTAAGGAGAAATGGACTTGTTTTGGTTTCACTGCCTAAGCTGAACCAAGGGCAAAGATGAGCAGTAAAGAGTATGTGCGAGATCTATCCAGTCCCCATCTTGAACATGGTTGGCAAGGCCTGCGTATTGTTTTATGATCCACTAAAAGTGAAGGAACATGTAACCCTCCCAAGCTGATCAGCTGTGCTGTGTGCACTTGCACAGCGGTAACAGACCTGGCTCACAGGAAAGTCGGAGGGGTATTACCACAAAGCACTCTTGGGCTCTTAACGAGGAATGCTGCTGGTGTGTTGGCTGGGGACTAGGAGTTCCTAGGTTCTAGTCTGGGCTCTGCCACTGATTTGCTGTATGATCTCTGGCCAGTCATTTCTCCTCTTGGTGCCAGTCTCCACAACTGGAGATAATCCCAGGAACGTGGCGAGAGGCTAAAGCCCTCGGAGACCCTGACTGCTCTGCCTTTCACCGACCTCATTACCTGGTTGGGCATCCCTCGCCCCTGGTGATCTTGTCGGCCGTCAGTCCATCCGTCATGGTGATGCTCCGCCTTTTGATGTGCCCTCCTTTCTGGCTGGTGGGGCTGTGGGACCCACCATGCTTCCCATTGGCTAGTCCATAGCTGGCCTCCAGGTAGCGCAGCGGGAAAGTGCGGTTGATGGGGCAGTAGATGATGGCGCCGCTCTGCTCAGAGACAGCTTTGCGGTTCCCCACATAGAAGCGCACCAGGGCAGGCACGTTGTCGAAGCTCTCCTGCTCAAACAGGTACTGGATGTGGGTGTGGCCACTGCTGGACTTCACCATCACCTTGTTGATCTTGAAGTGCAGCGGCTCGTTCCTCCAGCGGCACGTCAGCACATAGTCCCCCAGGCTGGTGAGCGAGTCGCGGATCAGGAAGTCCCCGTTCCTCTGGACCAAGCTCTCCGACACCTGGGGGCACACGGGGGAGACAATGAGACCTCCCCAGCTGTCGGTAGGGCCAGCCTTGGGCTCAGCAGGGCGTTCTGCTGAGTGAGATCTGGGGCACAGGCCAGCACAAGGTTCCAGACCCTGGGTAGGGGATGACTGTCAGTTGGGGAGAGGGATCCAGCAACTTGTTTGGGGAGAGTGGCGGGTAGTGTTTGGGTCACTAAACTCATCCAGAAAGGGCCAGAGAAGACTTAGGCACATGGCGAGAAAGAGGGAGCTGGTCCAGCCCTAGAACCCAATTCTCCCCTGCCCCTTGTATCATCATTTACACCAGTGCAGAGCTGGTGTGAAGCACTGCAGTTCTAACTGGGTAGCATTTTGCACCACACTGCATTTGGGGAGGTGATTCCACTGGGTGGGACATGACTGCAAGGAACTTTGGGGAGCTTTTTTGGAATCTCAATCCCATCCCATGAAGCTGTGTGGTGGGAAGAGACCCTGGGGCCAGATTCATGGAGGGTTCAAATATGGGCTGCACTAGTGTTTTAGGCTTGATTGAAATCCACAAAACTTTCCCTGAACTTTACAGAAGTCCAAACTCCCTCAGTATCTACGTTTTCAGGGTAAAAGTTCCCTTGGTTTCTACCTTTGGGCAGGTAGCAGTGTGCATGTCAACACCCACCTTCCATATACACCTGGAGTAATTCCCAAGCCATGGAAGACAGGCCTTTGTCTGCGGGACCTGGGCAAGCCTGCTGAATCTGGCTTCATTCAAAGTCTGGCTAGATGAGGAATGGGGATGGTAGTGGTGCCTACCTTCTACTCGTCAGCCCAGTGGTTAGATTGCTCACTTGAGTGCTTGAGTTTCTCCCCTGCCACCTCTGAGAGGGAAGCAGGCTCTGAACAGGGGGCCTCATCTCTCAGGCGGGCACTCCAAGCACTGAGCGAGGGGATGTTTGGATCTGGGGCTGTCTGTGTTGCCTGCTGGAGCTGTTGCACAGGGGATAAGTAATGAAGAGTGATCAGAGCAGGAGGGCTGGACCCCACCATGCTAACCACTGGGCTACAGTTATTCTCACTCTCTTTAGCCCAGTGACAGTTCTGTTGGGGATAGCTATTGAAATAGTCCTTGGGCCAGAGAGAAGCTGTCTCTAGTTCGGGACGGGCACCTGGGAGGTGGGAGACCCAAAAGCCAGTCCCCTTGCTCAAAGCATTTCTTACCACTGGGCAAAAAGTAATAACATGGGTGGGGGCTCCTCCTCCTCCAGCCATCTGCATGTGGAGCAAAGGCAGCACCTAATTAATTTCTGCAAGAAAATACTTAGGTGCTGAAGCTGCCTGGCTCCTAGCTGCGGGTTCCCGTTTGAGGATCACCAACATGGATTGGTGCTGCCTGCACCCTGGACAGAAACTAGGGATGTTAAATTTAGATTAATCAGCTAATCGAACAGTGGATGTAGTTTGCATCAACTATTCGATTAGTCGATAGGGCCACCTCTGCCTTTGAAGCGTAGCAACAGTCCCATGCTTCCCGCAGCGTTTCAAAGTTGCAGCGCTGCATGGAGACCAGGGTCAGTTGGGGAGTCCACAGCTGACCCCCAGCTCCACACAGTACTGCTGCTTTGAAGCACCTCCTCCTACCTTGCTGCCTCTTTCTGAAAGAGGCAGTGGGGGGGGGGGGGGGGGGGGGGAGGTTCATTCCTAGCATAAACCCCGCCCCTCTGCCTAGCATACATCCAGCTGGTCAGGATCTCCCATTGGCTAGCTCAGTGTTTCTCAACTTTTTTTTGTTTATAAAGTAGCTCTTTAAAAAAAAAAAAAAAAAAAAAATTATAAGTACCCCCAGTACCTACAGTTTTCAGACATACAAGTTTTTTTTTCCTACCATTGCAACATGTTTGTTTAAACAACTTAATCGTAGCCAGGCGGGCGATCACATTTTTGGGTGTAAAAAGTTCAAAAATAATAAAGCGCTGTAAAACGTAAAACAAAAATGCAGTTTTCTCCAAATTTCAGTTGTGTTGACGTACCCCTTGGACAGGACTGGCTTTAGGCCGATTCCTCAGAATTGTGCCCCGCACCCCAAAGCCAGAGGGCCCTGCGCCCTAAACCCGGAAGTGTGCCCGGCGTGCTGGCCCCTGGGTTTGTCTGGAAGGTGGGACTCTGCCCTGTAGCTGGAGATTTAAAGGGACTGTGACTTTCTTTGTGTGCTTTTTTTTTTTGGCCTCAACCAAAATATGGGGGTGGGGGGGAAAAGAGTCTGGCTGCCGGAGCCCTGTCGAAACAGTTCGAATCGGGCCCTGCACTTCCTAAAGCTGGCCCTGCCCCCAGACTTCTCTTAAGTACCCCTAAGTGGTAGTAGCATGTTGGCTTTTGTGGAGGGCATTGTAAGGTATCTCTCCTTGGTTACTGCATAGGGAGCCTAGGGCAAAACTCAGGTCTGTGGATCAGTGTCCTTCCTTCCATTTTTTTCTAGGCACCTAAAAGTTAGCCTAATGCTGAATGTTGCAACATCCATGTCCCTTTGTGCCCAACCCAGAGCAGAGCAGGATTGTCCTGTAGGGCACCTGGGAGGTTGTTCTACCTGGAGCTCCTCCTCCAAGCATTCATCTCCCCTTCCAAAGGCTACAGGGGAGGGGAAAGGAGAGAAAAAGGGCTTGTTCCAAAGCCGCTGAAGCGGTGGAGGGAGAGGAGTTGAGGGTAGGGATGTAAGTGAATAGTCAAGTACTTGGCTACTTGCTTCCCCAGACCCCTTGCTGCCTCGGCTAGAACAGGAGCCAGCGCTGGGGAGGGAGCCAGTTTAAAAGTTGGTTCCCCCAGCACTCTCTCTGCAGTGCTGCCTACTCCCTTTCCCCTGTTGCCAATACCAGACCCTGTCCGCAGCCAGCCCTGCCCACCATGAACAGGGGCTGCTGGACCTAGCACAAACCAGGACTGAACCGCCCTGGCTCACACCCATCCAGGGCAGCTGCAGCTCTGCTTTTTAAATGTAATAAGAGCCGCTCAGCCCCTCTTATTCCATTTCAAAGGCAGAGCCACAGTGGTCCAGGACCCAGTGCAAGCCGGGACTGCTCGGCCCTGGCTTGTGCTTGCTCTGGGAGCTACCCGTGCCATGGCTCTGCAGAGCACCTCCCCGTATTGACTAACTGTATAATCAATACAAATTGTATCGACTACACAATTAGCCAAACACCCGCTCCTTAACGTCCTTAGCTGAGACTCTCAAGGGGGGCTAGGGGCATTTTATCATCCGAGTGAGCAAACTTCTTGTGCTCCCAAGTGCTGCTCAGAATGGCCCGATCACATGGCCAGGCAGGTGCTCCCTGCAGCACAGATCCAATGCAGACTTGCCAGCGACCCTTTCTCCCCGTGAGACCCGCCTGCTCCTTCTCTCCACCCCCTCCTGTCACTCACTAGATCTGGGTCTCTCTTCTCAGCCCCAACCAAGATCACCTCCCAGGGCGTCCCACTGCAGGGGGTGGCACCTTCCAGCACTACCCCCTGCCCTCTCCTAGTCCTGCTGCCAGAGTGGCAGACTGGGCAAGGTGTTGCGTTAACCCCCTCCCCCGCAGAGATGGGGCTTTGGGTGGCTCTTGCTGCACTTGCAGGCAAGGCGAGGGGCTCACAGCAGCAGCCCTGCCCCCCCTCACCTCTCGAGGGATGCGTCCGTGGTACCACACATGGCTGCGCAGATCTGTGCTGCTCAGTTTCAGCTCCTCCTCCAGTTCTTTATGAAGCTTCTCCGGCGACGAGTCAAGGATGTACTTCTCCTTGGAGAACTGGAGAGAGCACAAGTGCACATCAGCTATTGCACAGTTCCCCTGGACACGCAAGGAACGCCCCCGAGAACAGGCAGATGCCCTTGGCCCCAAGAGAGGGCCCATCCTCAACACCCAAGACATCCCAAAGAGACAATCCCCACCAAGCATAAAAGGGTCCCTTCAAATATGGAGCTGCCACCACACAGCAGAGATCCACCAACATCGGGTTATGGCTGGCAGCTGCGTGGGGAGGGTTTGAATGACCCGTCACTGCCAGAGGATCAGGGCTAGGCGAGGGGAGGGTGATGATGTGTAAAGAGAACTGTCAGCTAACATGAGCTGCAAAACGGTCCCGTCACTAGGTGCACAGGGATGTGTGGTGAGCAGTTTCACGAGAAGGCTCGTGATGAGCGCTTGGCTCTGTACATCCCCTGGGGCCAGCTGTGCTGCTTCGCTGCTTTTCCTCTTGGATTGATTGCATGTGTTTGTTCACACGTGCGCTCAGGGGAGGAGAGCTGTAGTGCTGGCCCCCCTTTCTCCACCTGGGCAGCATATGCATCTCCCTGCAGGGGATGAGAGGTCCCACTGGACACAAGTCCCTCTCTGCCCTCCCTCCTCCGCCACCAAACTATGACATCACCGGGTTATTTCTGTCTGAGTCCCAGCAGGCCAGGAGCCAATATTGCCAGTGCAAGGCAAGGCACAGCTGCTGGAGGAAGAAAGGTCAGAGCCAGTGATCTTGTCTGCAGCACACTGTAGGCGACTCCTCCATGGTCCTCAGTGCTTGGATCAGGCTGTGTGTACGATACTCTCCCCTCTGTTTCCAGAGAGCAGTGTAGGTCCGCCTTGAAATGCAATTCTAAACCCTATGCCTGAGCGGGGCTGCTGCTCCCTGCTACTCTATTTGACAGCCCAGTCATGGCAGAGAGGTAAAGGAGTCTTTATTTCTAAGTGGGGTTGGGAATTTGATCTGCCAGAAGGTTTTGAACAGGATCAAACCCTTACTTTTGTGGCTTGTTCAGCACCACTTTTTCTGGGTTGTGCACATGGGAGACATGAGTCTTTATTATCCACACATCCCTTGCACTGTTTTGCCATGAACTGTATAGAGACAGCTCCATAAGACACTGGTCAAGATGCAAGGGGGAGGGCTTTGATTTTTTTTCCCCTCCCACCAGAGGGCTAATAATTCCTTTGTTTTGTGACATCTCTTTGCAATATAATCAGTTGGTCTTCCAGTTAATGGGCCACAGAGTTATTGTGTTCTGTGATATAAACTTAGCGGAATTCACTTCCCATTCTTCATAGTGACCCATCTGTATTGCTGTTACAGATAACATCGAATATTTCTGTAAGCCCCTCTTCACCATATTACCTGCACTTTTCACACAGGAATGGCTTTTGTTCCTATAAAATAAAAAAGCTGTTGCAGGGTGACACTGGCCCTTTAAGGAGGAAGAGGGCATATCACCTGTATCTGATACGCCAACCCCCAATTGGGCATAAGAGGATGCCTGGCTGGTACCTAGAAGAGAGGAGAGAGACCTGGAAAGTCCCAGAGTCAAAGCGCAAGGGAAAGGGGCAGGTCAGAGCCACTGAGAGTGGGTGAGGAAAGGGACTAGCCTGCCGACCTTACTGAGCTCGAGAGCCAGCCAGGAGGCTGCAAAGGGCTGAATTGCTGCCTGGTGCTTGGGTAGAAGAGTCACAAGACTGAGGATTTTCCATGTGGATGGTCTGAGAGTGGAGCTCTGGAACAAGAGCAGAAAGGGAGTGGGACCTGGTGGACTTGAGTGGGTGACCTGGACGTGAGTTCCCTAGAGAGAGAATGGGAAAATCTCACTACCTCTGTATGTTTTACTAGCTGGGGCTATGGATTTTTTATGGATATATCATTTTGTATATAACACTGGGAAACTGAGGCAGGTGCATCTTTTGTGCCACGGCCTGACTTTAAAGGGCTGTAGGGAAGTGGTTGCCTTATCACAGAGGTCTCATCCCCATGTACAGACAGGAAACCAAGGCACAGACTGGTTGTGTAAGGCCCTTGGCTTCTTGTTTTTATTTTGTGAAATATTTCTTGGGAATTTCTCAGTGTTTATTCCAAAGCTTTTTTTTTTTTTTTTAAAAGAGAAAACTGGTAAATGGGGAGAGAAGTGCCCAGTACTCAGTAGTGGGCAGACAAGGGGGCATGCGTTGGAAGCGCTCATTAGATAGAAGGAGAGTACCTCTGCTGCTCTGGACTGTCTATCTAGCTCTCCCATTTCAAAGCAGCGGTGGGGACTCTGCAAAGGGGGAGCTGGCCCACCCAACATTCAGGTAAAAATTTTTCCATCCATGTGTGGAATAAACTTTATGTGCACAGAGGTATGTGTGGATATGCACCACCAGTAGAAACATGCTGCCAACTGTGGGTATTCTGTTCATCCGCTCTGGCATCTGAACCTCTCCTGGGCCTCCCAAAGCTCAGTTTACAAGGAACATGGCTCCCCACCAAAACTTGGGAATTAAAAAACAAACAAACCCAAAACAGACAAATATTAAACATCTCTCAGATGTGTGACCTGGGCCAAGTCACTTCAAGTGTCTGAGTCAGAACCCAGACTTTGAGGCAGGTCTTTAGAGGACCATCCTTCATCCCTGGCTGGAACCACAGGCTCATCCTGTGACTTGTATAGGAAAGTCGTTTGACTGCCACCAACAGGCTAGGTGACAGCCAGCTTTCCATTATAAAAGCAGAGCCTGTTATGGGGTAGAGTCTTTGTTGCTCCCCCAGCCATCCTCCCCAGGGGGTACAGACTGGTGGTGTTTCTACCGGCTCTATGGGGATGTGTAGGACAGCACTAAGAGCCTCTCTCCAGATGTACAGACATGCTTTTTCCTTACCAAGCTATTCAGCCCCTATCACTGCCTCCCCTCCCGCATGCCCACAACTGGGAGGTTAGAAGGATCAGCTACATTTGGAGCAGGATGACACTTCCCAGAGGGAGGCCAGAGAAGTGAGTGGCCTGGTGGTCAGGATTTGAAGGGGGAGACAGTGCTGGTGCAATTAAAAAAAAACCAATACAAATCAAAGTGTTGGATTATTTTGTTATCAGTGAACTTCTTGTCCTATGGTTAAGGATGGATCACATTCGAGTAACAGAAGAGACCCATCCACCAAAGGGTTAACTCCACTGTTAGCCTGCTAGTATCATGAATAATAATGACAGAATTAAAGGGAATCTTTTGCATAGAAATGAGCTTTCACTAACACTCATGCACCTGAGCCTAAAACATACACTCCTCCCCTCCCCCGTCCCCTAGAGAGACACAAGGGAATGACGTAATGTCTCAGATCGGCTGAAGCTGGGACTTAGGCACAGGACTACAGTGCTCAGACCCAGCGCCGCAGAGAGATGACAGGATTCCCAGAGGGCTGCAGAGGATGCCCAGTGGAGCTACATAAGCACAGCTGGACATGCACAAACACACACAAGCCCAGAGCTCAGAGCCCTCTCCCTGGGAAGGACACACTGGACCCCTCAATTACACCAGGGCAGCATCTCCACGGAGATGCTCTGGATTTACACCTGTGCAGCTGAGTAAGCTCCTGCCCCTCCTGTTACGTTTTTTCATACAGACACATTCATGCAGGAAGAGCCCTGAGCACCACTTTACACAGGCCTGACTCAGAGCCATGCAGTTTAGTTCAAGCCCCATGCTCGGGGCCAGCAAAGAAATAACGGGTCTAAAGCTGATGGACAGTAACGTGCTCTTGGCCCCCCCTTGCAATGCAGTGCAATCCAGTGCAGTGGGGCCTAGGAGCTGGGACTCCTGGGTTCAATTCTCATTTGCTGCCTCATGCAAATCATGCCACCTCAGGTTCCCTCTCTGTAATGCAGACACATCACCTGCTTTGGCAAGGTAGGAGTCTCAGGTGTGGCTCCCAATTATCCATGTGAGAGTATGAAGAAAGTTTCCTTTGCTTAATTTCCACCTTTTCCTCTGCCTCATTATACCTACTGGCCCATATTCCCAGGTAAAACTATGCGAATGCAGTGGGATCCAGGGTGTAACTGACAGCAGGTTTGGCCTGTGCCATTGGTTATAGGTTTGAAACTGCTTGTCTCCTCTTTTGATGATGTGACACTAAAGGCTAATACAGGCAGTCCCCGGGTTACGTACAAGATAGGGACTATAGGTTTGTTCTTAAGTTGAATTTGTATGTAAGTCGGAACTGGCTCCAGATTCAGCTGCTGCCACTGAAACTGACCAGGGGCTGACTACAGGAAGCCAGAGGCAGAGTTGCTCTGCCCCCAGCTTCCTGGAATCAGCCTGATCAGTTTCAACAGCTGCTGAATCTGGAGCCTGGGACAGAACAGCTGGGGCGCTGCCCAGTAGGTTCCCACAGGACCAACCCGGCAGCACCCCAGCTGCTCTACCCGAGGTGTCCCACAACAAAAGCCTCGTCTGCTGGGGGGGGGCACACTAGCTGCGCCCCCTGCCCCCCCAGCAGACCAGGGAGACCCGAGCAAAGCCGCACAGGTGGAGGGACCCCGCTGCCCGTGCGGCTTTGCTCCTGTCTCCCTGGGGTGCTGGGAGGAATCCCCCCCCCCAGCACACCAGGGGGACAGGAGCAAAGCCGCCCAGGCGGGGGGAGTCCCGCTGCCTGGGCGGCTTTGCTCCGGGGCAAACGAGCAAAGCCACCCAGGCAGCAGGACTCCCGCTGCCTGGGCGGCTTTGCTCGGGTGTCCCTGGTCTGCTGGGGGGGTCCAGCGGATTTGCCACCCGTGAGCTCCGGGGCGAGAGAAGCCCCGTTTGTAAGTGCGGATCCAACATAAGTCGGATCCGCGTAAGTCGGGGACTGCCTGTACTGAATAACTTAATTTAAGGCTAGGTTGCTGCATGCCTAGTCAGCAAGAACTCCCTTTGAAACCAATAGGAATTTGGAAGAATTCTGGTTCTATCCCATGTCTCCCATCTAGATTACATGTTGCTGCCCTGACCCAGCATTGGCAGAGTTCACTGAGGCCTTTGGT